AGAGAGAGAGAGAGAGAGAGAGAGAGAGAGAGAGAGACTGTGTGTGTGAGAGAGAACGAGAGAGAGAGTGTGTGTGAGAGAGAGAGAACGAGAGAGAGAGAGAGAGAGAGAGAGAGAGAGAGAGAGAGAGAAGGTCCACTTCACCCACATAGAAGTAAAGGCACCTTGACCCACAAGACTATAATATAAAACACAGAGCTGTGACAAGCCCCCTGTACAGCCTACGTTATTTCAGTTTAAGTAGAGGGTTTTACGGCGCTCGCAACTGCATAAGGTCATATGAGCGCCAAGGGGTGGGTGTCAACAGAGAAGTCCTTACAGGGAATCAAACTTACTCTGCTCACCCCTCTAGCTTCAAAAGCACACAGTCGGTTTCGACTATCAAGGCACCCCGGAAATAGCAGGTCACAAGAGTGTGACAAACATACAAAAGAAGTAGAGGAAAATTACAATAGTAAGGAGTAGGAAAGAAAAAGCAGCAGTTCCCTGTTGTAGATCAGGCACAGTTATGAGCGTGACATGATGAATCAGCCCATTTACAAAATTATTCTACTGTGCATGAACGAGGAATTTCCGCCTTTGGGAATGGCCTAAAGACACTACAGTCAGTGGCACAGCCCCGTGGGGTAAAGCCTACGGTATATAAGCATCGTCGGTGCCGTACAAGGCGTTGAATCAAAAAAGCAAAAACAAAACAAAAACAACCAATACAGCAGCAGCCTTTTGTCCTATAGAGCCAGATCCGCGTATCATGATATAGCCGCGAATTTTTTTTCACCAATCGAAAGCGCATATCATGGGCTTCATTTCTGTATACGTTCATTGAGTTTCCCCGCCTTAAAACCGCTACAAAAAGCAAATTTAATAAATGTTTCACTTATCATATCTGTGTGCTTCCAAATTAGCTCATTTTGAGATGTGCGGAATGGATTTCAATATTGTTACAACTTGGATGACGCAACAAGAATTACTATGGAACGGACAGTAAAGCCAAGAATTCCGAAATCGCGTATCATATGATAGGCTTTTTGGGCTTAATCTTTTCCGGTGTGTTGATCATTCATACATAACCTGCATTAATCAGTTTTTTTGTACCTCCTGAAAAATTCGCTAAAACCTTGATACGTGGGACTGGCTCTTATAGAATGATTTGTACAGTACAAATTCCCGCTCAACAGCCAGTTCTATTATATATAGTGTGCATTACCAAAGAAACATAAACAGTCACAAGTAGCCCATACCAAAAAGAACAGAAATGCCGAGAAGAGATAAGCTGAGAACAAAATGTGTATAGCAATGCATTATAATGTGTAAGAAGGCGTGCGATGGTGGACTACTTTATATTGCGTGTTGGCCAATGCTTTCATGCACACACGCCAGCGTGCAGTAACGCCCTCCACCTACCTACAAGACAGAAAAAACGGAGGGAAAGAAAAGAAGCACGGGTTGATGCTGTAGTGACACCCTCTTACCACCCACACAGACAGCAGCAGCAGCAGCAACAGGAGGAGGAGGAGGAGGAGAAGAAGAGCGATAAAAAAGCGACAGAAAGGTATACACATACTACTTGCA